ATACTTCATATATTTTACAAAAATCTTATTATAAGCTAAAAACACTGTATCAAAGTAGACATTTGTTTAACAAAGAATTAAAAATTCAACTATGTGATTCTCTTGTTCTGAGTAATGCTAATTACTGCGATTACTTGTACGGGCCCTGTCTCTCTGGAAATGATTCCAATAGAATACAAAAACTTCAAAATTCTTGCCTAAGGCTCATTTATGGAATAAAGAAATTTGAAAGGATTTCTCATACTCTAAAATTAGCTAAGTGGTTAAATATGCGAAATCGCAGAAAACTTCATGCATTAACCCTGTTTCACAAAACAATAATGAAAAAATGTCCACCATACCTTTATAACAAAATTATCTTTCGCACAGATATTCATAACAAGCATACTCGAAAGAAAAATGAAATTGATGTACCAAAACACAATACACAGCAGTTTAAGAACAGTTATTCATATCAGATATCGAAAGAATATAACAATGTCTCAGATTCCCTAAAAAACCTTTCTATTACCTCTTTAAAGAGTCGTCTATTCGTGAATATTTTCAATGACCAATGCAGAAATTTTGGGATTCAGTAATTTAATTTAGTAACTTAGGAATTTTGAAATTCAGGAATTTAGGAATTTAATAATTTAGAATTAAAATATTTTAAAAACATTTAAAACTTAAGAATTTAGAAAATTAGCAATTCAAGAATGTAGAAATTAAGTATTCTATGAGTTTTAAAATATGAAAATTTATAAAATGTTTAATGTATGTACAAATTTAAATTTATAAACAAATTTGGATAGCAAAGCTAAAACCTTTTTATGAAAAACCTAAAAAAAATGTTTTTCAATCATTATCTTTGTTATCTAAGTTCCCAGGTATTTACGCTCTTAAGTAGGCAATGAATTATTTTTATTTTTTTTCCTCTGTACTCAGGCCTTTGAGGAAGAACAGCTTATGCTGATCAAAGGGCCTATTGACCTTATTTCTTGTTAACATAAATGGATATTTATAAGGATATGCATGTAAAATGGAATTTGTATTATTTGTTTTCAAAGGTCAATAAAAATTATTATTATTTATTATTATTATTACTAACCTTAGTTATTTAGACCAATCAACATTTACGATTTATAATTATGACAGCTTACGACAAAAATGAAAATCACTTGCGAATAGCAAAAGCGTCTATCATTAGAGAATACCATAATCGCATGCTTGTCGTTTTGGTAATCGAACTTTGTTGAGAAGTCCGCTTGGCGCTTTCGTTGCTATACGTTTTCGACTGAAAGTTAGAGAATAACCCCCCAGGTGGCCAGTCTAAATGAGTCTCTTTCACATACTTTGATTTTCTTTTACTATACGGAGAATGGTCGCACTGCGCAGCTTTCTGAGTGCCTTTTAAAAGGAGATAGAAAACTCCGCCATTTTGAACCCTTATTACGTGTTGCCTACATCTTGGCGCAATATTTTTAATAGGTGCGTTTTAATCATCCGCTTCTGCTTCGGAATTGTCGGTTTTCTTGTTTTAATCTGACAGGTTAGAACGACTGAACCGACAATTCCGGAAGCAGAAGCGGATGATTAAAACGCACCTGATATTTTGCTTGCTGCTGTCAGTGTCAGTGAATATTATTTTTGGAGTCACAGTTTATTGCTAAAGAATCAGTTGGCTCACTCGGACCAGTTGAAAGTTCCAAAATAACATCCACTCCAGGGATACAAATTTAGGATAAGCAGAAGACTGCTGTTTTATTATAGGCGGTTGTCATATATTGTATTATCTGAGTTGCGCAGTGTATAAACTAGAACATTGAGATAAAAAGTGCCGACGCAGAGTGAGCGATCTGATTCTTTAGCTATAAACTGTGTCATAGGGTTCAAAATGGCCGCGCCCTATGTTGGGCGTGTCGGACCTCTCTCTTGTCCCGTATAGTAATCAAAGTATGTGGTCTCTTTAAGCTAGAGACGGCTGGAGCTTTTGCTAGTTTAAAATAGATGGCAGAATAAACTTAATGAAAGTTGCCATTTTTATTCCAATCTGTATTGTTTTCATTGGATTTAAAAATATATCAAAGTAATGAAAACTGATTTTCGTAATATTGTTAAGAGTAATTGCTCTCCGCTGACCGCTGACAATAGCAAGAAATCTATATAAATAGGTATTTTGGTTTTATCCTAGAAGACACAATTTTAAAGATAATACCATAATTTTTTATGTGCAAAGAGAATAACTGGCACTAGTCCCGGGTTATCATACTTTTTTTAAAAATGGCCCGTTTTGTCAAAAAAAAGTTATAAAGTTTATTAAATTTAAAAAAAAACTTTTAATAGGAATTAACATTATCAAACATGCATTATTCTTTAAAAAATCAGGTATTATTAAGTTGCAGTAAATCATTTCCTTAACAAGATTAAAAAATAATTTTCAAAATTGGACGTAATATAAAGTTATAATTATTAAATCAGCAAAGTAAATTCGGGTATAAAAATGATTGAAAAATATGACTACAATATCCTTTCTCAAGACGTTCCGTGTTCGTACCGAGGGATAGGCGATATTGTCTTCCTCGTCTACCTAGTTTTGAAAATTGGACAGATACGGAATAAGGGATACATATAGGATCGATCTGAAATTTAGTATTGCTCGATGGTGCAAAGTGGGAATATTTATTACATGAGATAATTTTGTTTTTAATATAAAATTGTCAATATTTCAGTATATTTAAAAAAGTGTTTGATAAGAAAAAGTTAGATTAAAGCATTATATTTATATAATGAGTATATATTTTCTAAAATAATTTATTGTCCCCAGAATATCAACTAAGCTACTAAAATAATAAAATCTATAAATCAGTCTCTTAAATAATGTATTTAACAACTGTTTCACAATATATTAATTTACATGTTTTCTGACTTATCTGTGAAAGGAACGTGGAGAAAGTACTTAGTTTTGCTTACAAATTTTTCTTGATTTTGTTGCTGTCTGCTGTTGTAATGATGTGATAATTTTTTGCAGAAGAATTTCTTCTTTTTAACTTGAAATAAATAAAGAAAGAAGATGACTTAATTCAAGTATATAAAATATATTAAATTACATTATTTAACGTATGATAATAGTTTGCAATTTTTACAATACTTACGACTGTTATTATTCGTAACATGCTATAATTTCAAGAGAATGAAATTCAAAATTATTTCGGTCTGTACGGGTTGAAACTCAGAAAGATCTTCTTATATAATTAATGTTTAAAAAACTAACTGATTAAACAGAACCGTTGTGTTTTGTTACTCTCTGGCTTTGATTGATCCAGATTTTATGTTGCTGCCGTTGAATGAAGTAATCATATTTTGTTGTTGTCAACTTTGAGATATATTACATGATACGAGTTCGTGCATAACGTATTGTGGTGTGGAATATAGATGATTGGCCATGAGCTGACTAAAATTTATTTTTGCGCGCTGTTTTTAATCACCACAATGTGTTGCCGTGATGTAGTATCAATCGGCTTAATATAATGTTTTTTTATAGTATTATGGATATATATTACAAGTTTTCTCTTTTTCACTTCAACGATCTTATAAATACACTGGGATGGGGTATGCGAATTTTTTTAAAATTTTAAATTCTTGCAAAGTTATGAGTTTCTGCTTTTAAAATAACTGAATAATAGAAAAGAACAAACAAACGAAGTTGCGTGATATTTTATGAACCCTGACATTGGATATTTAAAAATATTTGAATTAAATCAGAGACAATAACAAACGAGGACAAAAAATGTATTCTGATGTTTGATGAGATGGCAATTAAGAAAACCATCGAATATACTAAAAAATCAGAAGTCATTGAAGGGTTTGAATACTTCGAGAACAACAAAAGAAAGTCAATTTTTGCCGGACAAGCTTTAGTGTAATTTCCCAATGAAAAATTCCAGTAGTTGTTTTTCTAACCCAAAACGGTGTCGATGCTTAATCCCTCTAAACTATTATTATTCCATGTTTAACACATATTCGAGACTCAAGGTACATTTACATCTGACATTTATTGCATGAAATTTATGTCTGACAGTTGTTTAGTCCAGTGTAAACACACAAAAATTTCTCTCGGACATATATTTTTAAGTGTTTACACTGGACTAAACAACTGTCAGACATAAATATCATGCAATAAATGTCAGATATAAACGTACCTTCAGGCTTGGAACCTATAGGGATAATGTGTGATTTATCTACAGTTAACCAAAAAGTCTATAGATCTTTGGGCATAACTGTAGATAACCCTCAATTTTCCAGGAGAAAATAATTACTTTGCATTTTTTTATGTGCCTGACCTAGTAAAATGCGTTCGAAATAAGTTTTTACAAGGTTATTTTATCTTCAATGGAAAATTTATTAGATATGCTGATGTTAAATAGGTTTATGAACTGGCCCAACGTAGGATATCTGGAAGAGCTTTATTAAAATTCACTTTAATGAACCTTTTCCCAAATGCGTTTGAAAAAATGAGCTACAACCATTAAAACGGCAACAAGAACTGGAGAATTAGTAGGCGTGACATTTGCACTCACTAAAATGGCGGAAAAGCAGAACCGGATATCAAACTTTTTTCGCGTCACAGAAAAATATTATACACAAATCGAATAAACACATTTAGTCCAAAGTTAATAAGATATAATAATACCATAAAATCATAGTGATCAAAATAACGATTACTTTAAACGAGTAACTAATACTTAAAACTCGACTTGAAAGTAAAAATTTCCCACATGCCTCTCTAACCCCGCATCAATATGTAGATGTTTTCCGCCTGTTTATTTAGCCCAGTAGCAATCATCTCTACTCTAGATACTTCTTACAGACTTACGGATTTTTTTGTGTTATCGGGTGTGACATTAAAGAAGGAAACCAAATAAAAACACGCGATTCCATACTCGAGAATACCATACCACGTTATCTAATCCGTGAACAACTTTTTATTATATCAACACATTTTTGTACTCATTGTTTTTTAGGTATGTAGATGATTACAATTTCGTACTGAGCAATGTATCGCTACTAGATTATCTACAAAGTTCGCTGGAATTTGCTACAATAATTCTGCAAATGAATAATGTAAGAATCCGTATTTTGATCCATATCATTTAATTTAGATTATTTTTCTTGAAAGTTATTTTTCAAGATTATTTCAAGTCAAAAATTTTTTTGTAGACTAGCATATTTTTTCTTATCATATTATTGCATGCTTTTCAGAATAATTTTTAAACGCTAAAAACAGTTATTTTCCTCTTTAATATACAGGATGTCCGAAAAAATGTAAGAGGTCTCTCGTATTCAGATAGAACATTAAAAAATAAGATGACAAGTTCCCATAATTTTGTTTTCCTAGCGGCCCTCCCTACGAAGATACGGCCTCCAAAAGGAAGTCAATTTTTCTTGAATAACTTTCAAACTACGTAATATAATTGTTGGGTATACGCAGAAGAAAGACTAGGAACTTCCGTAACACAGTTTATTTGACAAGCTATAAAAAATTAAATTGACAACTTCAACATTCTAGTAAACTAGTAGTGCATAAAGGTAAGTAGTTAAGATGATAACTCTCATGAACTCTAACACCCCCTCTTAATGAGAGGTATCTAAAAGCCTAACTCCTAGTGATCCGACGTGAGTTTGAAAGCTTGGCTTGTAAAGGGGCTATGTGAAAATGTCAGCCACCATACTCTGTGTCGGGATATATTCAATTTCGATTTCTTTCTTGTCATATACTTCTCGTACATAATGGTGTCGGATGTCGATATGTTTGGTTCGTGAATGATGGACTTGGTTTTGTGTTAATTTTCTGGCTCCCTGATTGTCACAATAGACGATTGACGGACGATCTAAATATTTTGAAAAACCAACTTCTTTCAAAAAATTTCTTAAGAATACTACCTCTTTTGCTGCCTCCGATAGCGCCATATACTCTGATTCCGTACTGGATAGTGCTACTGATTTTTGTTTTCGAGCTTCCCATGTAACAGCAGCTCCACCTAAAAAGTACACAAAACCTGTGTACGATCTTCTATCGTTTGGATCTCCTCCCCAGTCGGCATCTACATAGCCATGCAGTGATGTGTGTGTGCTTTTGAAAATAAGTCCAAAATGTTCAGTTTTTCTTAAATATCTTAAAACACGTTTTACGGCTACCCAATGAACTGGACCTGGGTTACAATTAAACTGGCTTAGGGCACTCACGGCATAGGATAAATCAGGTCGTGTAGAAACAGCTAAATACATCAGCGAACCAACTGCTTGACGGTAAGGGATATTTGCCATTTTTGCTGTCTCGGATTCGTTTGTAGGACCCATGTCCTTGGTCAATTTCAAATTTGCATCCATAGGAGTATCAGATGGCCTGCAGTTTTGCATGTTGAATTTTGTTAAAATATCTGAAATATACTTCTTTTGGGACATTGATATCCAATTAGAAGATTGTTTGAATTCAATTCCCAAACAATAATGTAGTAAACCCAAGTCTTTTATTTTAAATTTAGATGTTAGATTTTGTTTTAATTTATGGTAAGTTTCTTCTGTTTTTGTCGCTACAACTAAATCGTCGACATAGACGGCAAGAATAAGAAATGTGGAAGATTCTTTGGAGATATAGACACATTTGTCAGCGTTTATTGGTTTAAGACCAATAGACTGAAGGTACTGGTCTAATTTCTTGTACCACTGTCTTCCTGACTGTTTCAGTCCGTAAAGTGATCTTTTTAAGAGATACACCTTGTCTTTTTCTTCTTGCACAATAAAACCTTCAGCTTGTTCCATATAAATCTCTTCTTCGAGATCTCCATTAATATAGGCCATAACGACATCCATTTGGTACAAAATTAGGCCTAATTCAACGGATAAGGCAAGTAACAAGCGAATGGAACTTTGTCGAGTAACTGGTGATGTTGTCTCGTGGTAATCTACACCAGGTTGTTGAGTGTACCCTTTGGCAACAAGTCGTGCTTTTCTTCTTTCTACTTCACCGTTAGCTGTATATTTTGTTCTTAAAACCCACCTGCATCCTACTATCTTCCTACTCTCTGGTCTCTCTACTAGGATCCACGCATTACATGAAAGTAGTGAATAGAATTCATCGTGCATTGCACGCTTCCAGTCTTCTGCGTGTTCTCCTTCTAGTGCTTCTTTCACTGTGGGGTTATCTGGATCGGAAGTAACTAGCTGAGTTTCTTCAACTACTTCTACGATGTTGTATTTCTTTTTAGGTCTTCCTTTTGATCCATCTCTTATAGTAGCTGGACGTCCTGGACCTCTTTTAAAAGATTTCGGTAGTGCATCTGTTTTTTCTTCAACTTCTTCTTCATCTGTTTGTGTTTCATCTGAAGGTTTTTCTGCAGTGGTTTGAATTAATATGTCTGGAGGAATATTATATGTCGTTAAATTTGGTGACTCGTCATTTTTAAATTCAAAAATTACATAATTCTCAGGGATGGTTGGTTCTTTTTCTGTAATTTTGATATTTCTGGGGTTTTACAAAAATCTAACGTCTCGACTGGTTATGATTTTTCGTTTTTCTGGATCCCATAAACGATAAGCTTTTGATTCTAACGAATATCCGACAAAAATACAAGTTTTGGATCTACAGTCAAATTTTCCTTTACTTGGAGTTTTTATTAAGACAAAAGCTTGTGATCCAAAAATATTTAAGTGTGAAATTTGTGGTTTAGTTCTATTCCAAAGTTCAAAAGGTGTTGTATTTTGCAAACTCTGCGATGGTGATCTATTTCTGATAAATGCAGCGGTCGCTATTGCTTCGGCCCAAAAAGTTTCTGGTAAGTTTGAATCTAGGAGCATACACCTGGCCATTTCGACTAAAGTGCGGTTCATTCGTTCCGCCACACCGTTTTGTTGTGGTGTATATGCTGTAGAGTATTGTCTTTTTATGCCGGTTTGGTCTAAAAATCTTGAAAATTCTGCTCCAGTGTATTCTAACCCGTTATCTGTTCTCAGCACCTTGATTTTTTTATCAATTTTTCTTTCTACATACGCCTTGAACTTGAGAAAAGCATCTTTTACTTCATCTTTGGTTTTTAGAAAGTAAGTTTCTACCCATCTTGACTTGTCGTCAATGAACGTAGCAAAATACCTTGCCCCACCTAATGATTTTAACCTCATCGGTCCGCATAGGTCTGAATGTACAATTTCTAGCAAATTTTCAGCTCTAGAATCTGATTTGTGAAAACTAATTGCTGTCTGCTTGCCTCTAATACAAGTCTCACACGGAGGGAGGCTTTCTGAAAAGTTGAATGTCATTCCATGAACTAGGTCCTTTGACGCAAGCATTTTCAAATCTTTTTCATTGATATGTCCATATCGCTGATGCCAAATTTGTAGTTCTGACTTTGTATCTGCGACAGCTGAGGATTCTTCATGTTCATTTAGGTAATATAGTTGACCATTTCTACTAGCTCGCACTATAACTTCTCCACTTGGATTAATGATTTCTGCATGGTCTCTCAAAAAACGTGTTTGCCTACCATTTGCCGCAGCTTTTGATATTGAAATTAAATTAGTTTTTAACTCAGGAACATATAAAGTATTTTCTAGACTAATTTTCTTGGTTCCCAATGGGCCGCTGTCTATCAGTAATTTCACTGTCCCTTTTCCCAAAAAGTTAGTAGTATTATTGTCTGCAAGACGCACTTTTTGGTCATTTAATGGCTTAAAATTTACAAACTTTGCCAAGTCATTGCACATATGGGATGTTGCTCCACTATCTAGGCACCATTTATCTTGCCCTGTATTCCTCTGATTTGCTTGATAAGACGTTGCTACATTCGTTCTTTCTTGAATCTCAAAATTGCAGCCTTCAGTACTGATCATAAAAGCTTCTTCTGCCGTAGATGCATTATATTGTTGCTTGTCTTTTTCTCTTTTTCTGCACTGGGAACCTTTGTGACCTACTTTTTGGCAGTAGTTGCATTTATATGGAAATTTCCTCTTAAATTGATCATTTTTATTACTTTTAAAAACTTTCAATGTTGTATTTGTTTGAACCTGTCTTCCAGTTTGTTTTGACATAAAGAGCGTTCTGCGTTTGATCTTGGTCTCCGCAATACTCTTTTTCGTGCGTTGAATTCATCCAATAGTTTTACTTTTAAAACATCTGGTTTAGGAAGTTCATCTCTCGTTTCTATAGCGCAACGAAAATTTTCATAACTTGAAGGAATATTGTACAACATTAAAATGGTTAAAATATCATCTGCAACGTCGGTACCCATTTCTTTCAGTTTATCTACAATATTCGTAAAAGAATTAAGGTGATCTGCCATATCTTCGTCCTCCTTCATTTTTGAGAAAAGAAGTTTCTTTAATAATGTTGCTTTTCTGGCAGGACCCTTAGACTGATATACTTCTTGAAGCTTAATCCATATCTCATTCGATGTTTTGCAATATTTAATATGGCATAGTTCGAAGGGTTGAATAGCTAAAATTATATCTGCTCTAGCTTTCTGGTCTGTTTTCTTCCACTCTAGTGCTTGATTTGCATCGTCTGGCTTCTTCACTTCACCAATAACATGACTCCATTGGTCGTTCTTTATTAGGAAAGCTTCTATCTGGAGTTTCCAGGTATCAAAATTATCTTTGGACAACTTTTCCACTTGGTTGAAATTTGATGCCATAATTTTTTTTTTTTTAATTGGAATAACCTACTGTGTCAGGAATAATAAACTTAGCGCGTTAGGTGTAGGCCTGGGCTCATAACCTGTTGGGTATACGCAGAAGAAAGACTAGGAACTTCCGTAACACATCAATTTAAATCAATTTAAATCAATTTAAATCAATTTAAATCAATTTAAATCAATTTAAATCAATTTAAATCAATTTAAATCAATTTAAATCAATTTAAATCAATTTAAATCAATTTAAATCAATTTAAATCAATTTAAATCAATTTAAATCAATTTAAATCAATTTAAATCAATTTAAATCAATTTAAATCAATTTAAATCAATTTAAATCAATTTAAATCAATTTAAATCAATTTAAATCAATTTAAATCAATTTAAATCAATTTAAATCAATTTAAATCAATTTAAATCAATTTAAATCAATTTAAA